GGTTGCTCAATTAAAACTGACTTCTTCTCACTCACTTATTTGTGTCTTTTTTTGTGGTGAGCTACAGTGTCATTGACACTTTCATTATACTTGTATTTCACCTAGTCATTCCACAGTAGATGGCACGAAACACTATCGTAACCAACCACAACATACAAATATTTTAAAATATTCTAATAAATTAAAATAATTTTTAAATAATTAAAATAAATTTTAAATAACTCATTTTCTAAATATTGGTCCGACCGCTAAACGTAAAACCGACATCCCCGCGCGGCGACCCCCGCCTCCCATCCCTCCACCTCTCTCTCTCTCTCTGCAGGTGAGACACACCACACGTTCCCCATCGACAGCTTCAAGGAGAGCCTGACCGGGATCCTCACAGAGGGCGCCTCCGTCAACTACTACATGTTCTTCGGCGGAACCAACTTCGGCTTCATGAACGGCGCGAACGGCGCGTCGAGCCCGCCCTACTACTAATAGCCGACGATCACCAGCTACGACTACAACGCGCTGCTCACTGAGTCCGGTGACGTCACGCCGAAGTACATCCACGCCGTCGACGTGATGCGACGTCACGTGCCGGGCTTCCTCGCCACGCTGCCGCCGCTGCCACCGAAGACGCAGTATGCGCTCTACGGCAAGGTGACGTGAATATACGTAAACTTTACTGCGGTGTTTGGCGGCGATGGTAGAACGCGGTGATACTTAGAGGTCCGTGTTGTAGCGTAACCGATTCCGGAAGTGTCCGTAACTTTACCGTAGTGATTTGCGGCGATGGTAGAACGCGGTGATACGTAGAGATGCGTATCATAGCGTAGACAATTCTCCGCCATGTGCAATGAATGCATATTATACCTTTTACTAATAATAATATAACGTTAGTCGGCGCTAGTGCCGCACATCGAGTGAATCATGTGTGAAACAAAATAATATAAATTTACTATTTTTGTTGAAAGTATGCGTTTGAAATAAGGAGGGCTGACCGCCGAGTCGTTTGATATAAAAATGGAAATATGTTAATGTCTCACTTTATTAATTATAACTGCCCAGCCTCCCTAATTGTTATGTAAATATGCACAGAATTAAGATCCACTAATATAATAGAGGTATTTTTTAGCTGTTGATAGAATATAGAATTATTTCTCAATGCCCATCATCTGCTGAACACAATCGCGTTTCTTGACATTAAATGTTTCTCAACGAAACCATAATTCTTCATCATATTGCCTCACATTACTATTACTAAGATAGTAAGATGTCCTGACTCCTGGCTACATTCTATCCCAATCCACAGGAAACTGCAATTAAATTATGGAACATTTTCCTGCCGATAGTCGGCGCTAGTGAGCCACTTTGTCTGCTTCGCTTTCATGCGTTGCAGAGGTCGTTGTCGTCGTCGTCTTGAGGCACACCTAGAACCCAGTCTGTGGATTTCCCCAGTTCCTCCAGCGAAACATCCACGGTGCCGAATAAGTGCAGCGGTTACCGGTAGGCGTGCAGCTGTGACGAATATTCCCCCCGAGGCTTTCCTCGAATGCGGATACGGAAGGATTCGTTATCGTTTTGATTCTCATCTTTAACGGGCAGGTGTTTGCGCACGCTTATGCGAATGTAAAACAAAGATAGATAGACAGAGAATAGATAGAACGATAAAAATAGAACGCACGCACGCACGCACGCACGCACGCACGCACACACATCTATCTATATCTATATAAATCTATATATATGCATATAACCGCCGCATGTAACCAGCCCATTATGTACGGGAATTACCCCGCTGTAAATTGTCCCTGTAACGAAGTCGTTGACTTGCTGTCGTCATCAGAGACGCGTGCGCGGGTCTGGTGCTCTCCGTACAGAGAGAAGCTCGCCTCTCGGCTCATTAGCGAGCACCTCGGCCTAATCCCAGCGACA